GAAAAGAGAAATTAATTAACCAAAAGAGGAAAACTGGCTTGGAAAAATGGAATTAAATCTAAGGAATACATGTTTCCAAAAAAAAAGATAGATGGAGGAATATAACGCAGAAAAGCTTTTCGTGACGCATACCATAAATGTGGAAATGGAAATGAAGAAGAAGAAGAGTGGCTTTCGAAATAGGAAATGCATTGAACATTTCCTTTTTTGCCGTTTTTCGAAATGGAAGACTGTGCGATGGGGAGATAAAAAGAGAAATGTTTCGGCGCGCGCAGCTGTGAATGGTGATTGATTTCATTCAAAAAATGCTGGTTGAAATCTGAGAAAGATTGCAGAAAAGACGCAACTCTGTTTCTTTAGCAACTACAGTTCGAAGAGTTCAGGTTCTAATTTCCGAATTAAAATTCAAAAATTGACAGAATAAACACAATTAACAAGACAGTTTTTGCCGGAGAAAGTGGAGATGAATCGCTCGAAATCGTTTCCTCTGATCCCATAAACTCGATTTGTAGACAACTACTTTGCTCATGAAACTCATAGTCGGTGAAAAAAGTACGAGAAGTAATTGTTCCGGTTCAGACTGCGTGAAAGCACAAAATCGGCAAACGACTTCTATATATCCGGACATACAAAAACTATGGATCTCTTGTCCATGTCGTTGTGGAATCTATCTTTGTGAAAAACGAAGACTAATTTGATTAGTTCCGTTTTGCCCCAATCTTCCTCTTGACGTACACGACAATATTCCTAATTGTTTCCGCCCAAATTGCTCATTGTCACGGCAGTATTTCTGAATTGGCTGTTGTCATGATAGACCTTCTACCATTATCTACTCCTCAAAATGATGCAATAGAACATCGAGGGAACTGAGCTACAGTATTTCTTCGTTCAGCGCCTCCTATTCTCACACAGCAGTTTCAATTGTATTCGTTTCAGATACATCGCTATTATTACATGAAGCTTCTGAAACAAGGAAAAAAGCTTACCAAGTTTTTTGTTTCTGATAAAAAGCGCTTCAAATGATGACTATACGGTGGTTCACAGCGCACAAGAGGTTTTTTTGACGTAGAACGGCAGCTATTGATAATCATAATGGATGGATGTATTCTGAAACAATAATGAATATGCATTTTAAAGCAATCGCAATAACATCGACAGCCAACAAGAAGAAAAATACATTTTCAAGCAGACAAGTGACGCCGCGTTTTTATTATGCATAAAAACGTGGATTGCAACGACACTCCGCTATCCCGCTAGCGCGCGTTGTTTACCATTAAACGATCCGATTTTCGAGCAGACTCGTGGCTTTTTCTTAGAGCTACGTGGAATTTCGTTTGGAAATTTGATCAATAATTCTTTGGACATGGACTTATAACAGTGTGAAATGTTTTTCAGACGTCAGTTACTTACAGTACGGCTGTAGGACGGAATATCCGGGGAAAATTACTAGTTTTGACCGGAAAATAAGATTTTTCAACAAATAATTAATGAGAAATCGTGAAAACTTACAGAGTGAACTAAAAGGAACATCAATTGAATGGAACAGACTAGTCAAGTAACAGATTTACTCGAAATAATCCAGCATCCCAGACAGTTGGACGTATCGAGAGAAGAAGACCGGCGGCGTGATTCCCTTTGACATGCCTGTAAATTGAATAAATTGTAGTTCATTTGGTTGATATCGAAATCAGAAATTTCATCGAATCGAAAACAAGATGAAGTTTCCGTATCATCATTATTATTCATCGAAAAGAGTGACAATTTTGAACGCCTGCCTTACTCGCCGACGGGGCGTTTCCGGGCCTGCACTACCGACTGCTAACTCGCTTGAAAACTGTGGGCAAAACAACATGCGAAATAATAGAGCTGAGCAATCTCTACACCCTCCAGTAAGAATTGACAAATTTCAAAAGCGGTATTCAGGTCTCGACTGACAATTTCAGCCGGAACAACGAATTTTAGCCGGTTGGCTAAAAAATGTCGGCCAGAGCCCCGTTAATGGTTCGGATGCTGGTTGATTCTAACTCGAGGTCGTAGAGCTCGCCAAGCTCTATCATCTGGCATGTTTTTTTTCTCACAATCGAATTTAGAAGCTAGTTATCAACAGTGTGGCGTATTGCCGATTTTCTCTAAAATATTTGATTTTGCTTTCAGAGTGGATTTCAATTGCTTCGCCATCAAATTTCGTTCAAAAGGATGAACTAACCACATTATTCTGTTCAATAGTCGACGCCCGGAGGATAAGTAGGATATCGAATCTAGCTCACATATGCAAGTAGACTGTGATGTTGTGTGAGAGATGACTGCTGTCGTAGCTGAAATGAATTTTCTTGAGAACAGTGTCAAATGTTTCTTAATATGCAATATAATAGTTTTGCAGAGCGCCAAACATCTTTACTGATGCAAAAAAATTAACGGCGCCTGAAACTTTTCAAAAAGAAGTGTGTATCTAGAAGAGCGTAGCCCTTGAAAACCTGGCATCCACAGGTATAGAAAACGCGAAAATCGATAAACCGACGAGGCTAGAGTTTTCGTGCAACTAAAATGTTCTTCTTATTTCAATTTCAAAATCGGTTTTTTCATGAAAATCTGTTAAAAGTAACGAAAATCTTACCAAGTTCATCTTTCGACCAAGGAAATCACTACAAAACGTAGGAGACAATTTGACAGCTCTTCTCAACGCAAAACGGCGATTTGACACATCGACAGCAGTCGTCTGGAGAGTTTTATCCTGAAACAACAGTTTGAATTCTGAAGTAGTCGTAGTAAAAAATAACAGCCAACATCGAAGAACAGCAATTCACTCTATCAACGCAACGCTTGAAAATCACAGTTTTCTGTGTCCACTTAAACGGTGACTTCTGGACGGAGGTGGGTCAGATATCGAAATTCGGACGAAACCCACCACCCCCTTGGCGTTTCGTTCACTGAAAATCAATCCGTTTTTTGCCGAAAATCCCTTGTTTACAAGTTTTTCACAGACTGGCGAAACTTGAACAGAGACCCGACCCGTGGAACATTTTAGCGAAATGGGTTCGCTGTTTGGTGTTTTTTTCGAAAGTTTCCAAAAATGCATATTTTTGCGTTGATAGGCCATGCCAAAAAACTTCATCGTTTGTCCCGGTATGGCCCGAACAATAGTTTGTATGGATCTTCAGAGTTACTTGGGTGTTTCATCAGAAACCTGATCGATTATGATTCCGGAAAAAAGCTTTAGAACGATGGGAAATGTTGTTCAGTCGTTTGTCACGGCTTAAGGAACAAAAACTCACTGAGAAAACAAGGCAGTGTGTTGATTGAAGAAAGGCGACTGAATCCCAAGCTGATTTCTTTCGAAACTTCTCCCAGCCGAATCGCGGAGAGAAGAAAACTTGCCGGCATACTGTCACTCGGTGGGGGCCTGTAAATTGAAATTATTGAAGCTCATTTGTAAGACATTTGCTTCAGAAATCGAAAATGACGCGATGAAAAGAAAATTAGCGGGGAAAAGGGTTTTTTCTTCAAACGATGGGCTTTCCACATTTCGGTGAGTGGACTATCGTTGATCGAAAAATAGAGCTAACCCAGTCGCTTCATTCAGCAGTAGACGTCCGGAGGATCATTATGAGATTGAATCCAGCTCACAGACGGAAAAAAAAACTCCGCGGAGTTGTGTGAGAGGCGGCGGTCCCCAGGTCGTAGCTGGAATAAGCTTTCTTGAAAACCAGGTCAGTGGTTGTTTATTTTGCCCTGTAACGGAAAAGCAAAGAGCGGAGTACGTTCAGAATTGCTAGCAGAACCTGTACTTTCAAGAAAAAGCCGGAACTGTATGAATAAAAGACCAAAAATCGATAATTCTTTGTTGCCCTTGCTGCAATGACTTGAGCTCCGGCCCGACTCGCATGTTTTTCTTTTTTCAAAATGAATTTTGATTCATTTTGATTCTAGTGAACCAAACAAAAAACTCACCGACATAACTCGTGTTGACTTTGCTGAAAAGGATGTTGAATGACTAGACAGTATTGCCACTTTTAATGTGGATTCGATCTCATAATGATCCATTGGTGGACAACACGTTTGACTTGTTGTACAATGTAATCGCTTGAGTTTCTGGAAAATAAAAAAATTTATAAGTAGGTTTTCGACAGAAATAACCGACTGAAGAAAAGAAAAAACGATGCGAAGGAACAATAATCTGAATGATTTTTCGTTTGCGCAACGACGCTCCGCTATCCCGCCTTGCGCGCCTTGTTTACCGTAAAACGACCCGATTTATGAGCAGTTTCATGACTTTTCTAGACGTCTTCAGAGCTTTCTCTCACAGATTTTTTTTCAGATTTTTTCTCAAAAACAATCAAGGACAACACGATAAAGCTGGGAGGCTTTCTTCTCGAAGATTCCGCCGATGTTTAAGGACGACACAAGCGTGGGCATAATTTTCATGCTAAGAAAACAGGAAAAATAGCTGATTCGCCCTTCAGAACAGTTTCAGACTAGCGGAAAGCTGCAGAAAACGTTCAGGCCCTGAAGAAGAACGAACAGGACCAATCGAAATGGCGATGATTGTGAATTGGATGTTCATGGAGACTGTGATGGACCAGAAGCGAATGGAATTTGGTTGCAAACTAAATAACGTCGGCTGCACAAGTATTGGAAAACTTCGCAAGTAGCACAAACACTGACGCTGAATCTTTTAATCTATTAGATGAGTGAAATGAAAAATATGCGACTTCCTGTAAAACATAAAAATGGATTTTAGTCGAATTTTGTCCGAAAATCGATGATGTTGAGCGACTAGACGAGATATTTCGGCATAAAAACATTTCATGTTAAAGCAAAAATGGATAAAACTTCATTGTGTTCAAAAATGTACAAAAAAAGTGACTGGGGGAGAAAAACTGAGAAAAAAGAGGGACTAGGCTGTTCAATAACAGCAAAAGGCCAGAATTGTATACCAGTAACCGGGGGAAACGCGATTAACAGAAAAAAATGATGGAAATGAAAACAATTTGCAAATGAGCTTATTGATCTGGTTGCACTGCTTGCATTTTGATAGAGTTCCGACGGATATTGTCCTTTTCCTGAAACGAATTTATGAGTTGAGAGTTTGAATCGCTCATTCTTACCTCGCTAACCGGTTCGTCCATGATGTTGAGATGTTTCGCATGTTTCCAGACATAAATATCAGTGAATAGAGCGATTGTTCGGATAACAACGTAAAGAAGATGCATCCAAACACGAAGACGGTCAGGATGATAGATGGCACAAGCTCCCCGTGCTCCATTGCAGGTTTTATCCCAAACAAGACAAGCTGCATCGATGACCAATCCCCAGATAATAGGAGATGGAAGAGTACCAAATAAGGAGACTGCCATTCCTTGTAAACCGAGAGATAGAGATCGACTTTCTGGTGGAACGGATCTGAAAACATTGAATTTGAGAGAAAAAATGGAAACGAATTCAGTGGAAAATTGAAGGAATATGAACTAAATAAAGCTGTGGTCATACTAACCTCAACAGAATCAACATCGCTGGGACCACACCCAATCCAGCCACGAAAGATCCTGGTAAAACGGTCAAAAAGAAGACGACGGTGCTGGTTTTGCAGGTGTTTTCGCAGTACTTCTTGCTGACAACCCCTCCGGCAGCACATTCACAGGAAGTGAAATCGAGAAGCGGGTTTGATCCATATTGTTTAGCCTCACGGCAGCCAGCATGACATGGGGAAAAGTAAGCATACCTGGAAAATGAAATTTGGAAATACGGGGAAGAGGATTATCGATTTTTTGTTAGACTGTGCGGTCTACTCACCCGGTAGGATCGCACACTGGGTACAATCTGGCGTTTTCACAGGCACATTCGGAATTGCATACACGAGTGAAGTTGTAGTTGGTTTCTCTGAAAAATTTTGTATGATGCAAAAAATTCATGCTTTCTTCGTACCTGTTATTCAAGCCAATGGAATTCACAATAGAGTCACATCCGATGAACATTTTGGCGCTGTACAAGCAAACATTTACTGTTGACATCAACATCACAAACATAGCAGCACGTCTTCCATTCAATTTGAGCTTCTTCGTCACCCAACCACCAGTTGCTGCTCCCAAGCCAAAGCCAAACACTCCAAACATTGCCATATAGCGATGAACAAGGTATTGTGGAATTCCAAAATGATTTTCCAAATATTTCGGCAGGAAAACAATGTATCCCTTGAATGCCAAAATGTCACAAACACGTCCCAACACACTTCCAATGTAGATTTTTGTGCTCAAAACCGATTTTACTGATTTGCCAAAATCCTTAAGCTTCATCTTGATGGTTCGGTCTTCGTCAACTGTTTTCTTCAGCTTCTCCTTGTGTACATCATGAAGTTGCACTGCTGAGCTGCTTCCTTGTTTCCCTTGTGGGAAGAAAAAGAGCAATGTAGATGGGAAAAGAGCGATGGTTCCAATGAACAAGAAGCCGATCCACCAGGCACCAATCCATGTTGGGTCGGCAGGTGTTAATCCATTTGGAGCTGAATAATAAACCATTGTTGAAAAGGTTCAATCTCCTAACTTACGATTCAACGTATAGTAGAATTTATTGCAGAAACTTCCAATCATGTATCCACAAATTGGACCCAAAACGCGAATCGATGAGATAGCTCCGAAATAAGCTGGAAGAGACTTCTTTTTAATGTTGTCGTCTAAGAGTGGAACTCCAAGACTCCATGGGACAGTTCTTCCGATTCCGAGGAAAAAGAGTGAAAAGAAGAATACCATGAATGGATAATTGTTAGAAGATTGCTCTTCGCATTTTGAGTCCTAAAACTAGCTGATAATTTTCAGATCTGGCGTATTATGGTACCTTGATAATTGATCTTAAAGAGTTTGTCAAAGTTCCACAGAATGTAAATGGAGCAGCTGCACTGATTCTAATTTTCTTGATATCTTTCTCGGATGAGTTGACTCTTCTACGAATAAACATCGCTAGTGAGTTTCTCAAGTTGTTCTGACTAGTGCCATTGTTAATCACTTTATCAGCTTCGATAATGGCTTCATCAATGAGCCATCCGTCGATTGTGTAGGAAGTATTGTTAGAGCTTGGCGGTTTTCCAATGGGATGGTAGTCTTCTATCTAAAAATCATTTCCCACAACTGATCATTGCTTTAAATTTTTTTCTTATTTTGTCATAAGAAAGTTCTTAATTCAAACTTACAGGTGTTGTTTCATCGTCTAATTTCATCAATGACATGTACGTGTCTTGAGACATTCGATCACGAATCAGTTGATATGACAGTAGTTCTCTCAATGTCGAGTTTGACGCCAACTGTGCGGTTGTGGGCTTCAGTTGGGCCTAAAAGCAAGATGAACGATGAATTAAACGTTGAACCCTGAACTTACCGCTACGGCGGTCGTGTTGATATCGTGATGGCCTTGAGGGAACAGAAAGTTGGGTGTTGCCAACATTAGATATGTGATAGATACTAGAATGGCACCAGCACCAATCCATCGTGCTCTGAAATAAAGTTATGTTGATTCTGGGAAGAGAATTGATTCATGAACTTTCAAAATATAATCGCAGTTTAGGATTCCCTGAAGCATGACGGTAATAACCGCCACTCACTGACCTGTTTCCCTTTGAACCAAAGTGAGCAATGAACACAACACATGGAATATAACCGAAGTCACCTGAAATATTATTGCGTTTAGGGCATTTTAGATGCTTTTAACTTACTAGCTGAAATCATGAATCCAGACGTTTTGGAAGACATTTGAAACTGCCGTTCAATGTTCTGTACAGCCGAGTTGATATAACTTCCTCCAATTGCTTCCAAAAAGAAAACAAAGGAAAACAACCCCAGAAATATGTATATTCGTTCCATTTTGGAACCTGAAAAAAAATGAAATTCAGAGTGAAAAGAATGAACTTCATAACATTTGAGAAAAGGGTGATTACGAAAAATATTCCATTTCTAAAAAACTGGTGTTTTTATGTCAATATCAACTGTTTATTTGTACTGCGTACGGCAGTGCAAACGGAACTGAAAAATAAGAAAAAAAGAAGATAGGAACAGAACGGAAAGAAAATTTATAAAAAAGGACGCGGCGGAAGGTGCGCTGATAATCGATCAACGGACGTGAATTCTGAAATCTAAAACTGAAAACATAGATCATCACTTCCGTCCAATTTTTGAAGACTTTCTTAAATCCCACGGACCTTGCTAATCGGGAGATTTTCGAAAGTTGACTATGTGTACTGAGAAGCAGATAAGCTTCTTATACTGACTGCGGCAATCTTCAATTTAGCAGAAAAAAGCGTTGTTGCTTCAATGAAAAAAACCAGAATAGCTTTGAAAATTGGATGGGGGAAGAAGAAGCAAAAAAGAAATGGTTTTCTAAATTTGTCTTCAACTTTTGCAAAATTAATTGAACTAAATTTCTGGAAACTTGTTTCATACGAGATGTTATTCATGCGTATACACAATATACAGTAACCCTGGATGGAACTTAATTTTCTAGAAATAATAGGAGTTTTCAATCACTAGGAAATTACAATTTTTTTCTATTGTTCATCGGTTATTGTAGTCTCGGAATTACCGTAAACACGGATAGAATGCCACCCAAGCTGTCAACTTTGAGGGAATGTATCTAATTTTCAGTGAATGATGTCAAGAAGTGGTCATCTGGCGAAATGTTTATCATAATATCATCAACATTTTATCAGTGAACAATTATTTGACATCTTCTATAGGAACCGATATATATGAGCTCAAAATTGACGGTTCGGATAGAGTTGAATCAGAGTGTTAACGGTGATTACTGTGATTTAACAAATAAAATGAAGTGCATCTCAGGCACGTATTTTTTTAAAGTAACTTATGAAAATATTTCTAAATAGGGAATCTAGAAAAATTACCACGATTTGAAACCAACAAATCCTGTTATCTAACATAGAACCCTTCGAAAAAACTGAATTGAAGTTGAAAAAGGAAGTAAATCCAGGTTTATCTATGAAACCCATCAAACATGGTTAAGGACCTACTAGCCATCCTACAATAACCGGCACGATGAGGTCGGGAAGCGAGAGAAAGGTGATGGGAGGGACACAGGAGGAAAAGATGCATCACACATCTTCTACTCTCCCCCATCACCTCCCCCCATGTTTCCTCCATCTTGTTCGTCGTCTTCTTCTATGCCAGTACAACATAACTTGCCGATGACTTTTGCGTGTCGCTTTTCGACGTCGTCGTCCGTTTTTCGTTTCCCGAACGAACAATGATTTTTATATATGTATAACATTAAAAATAAAATATAGATATTGGGATGGAAAGGAACCGGGAATGCCTTCAGAGGACTAGTTTCTTATTTGGATCTAAATTTACAGTATTCGGAGTGATATGTGATGCTGTTGATTTGGTTTCTGATTTTCCGATCTAGACAAGAACGATATTGCACTGAGATACACTAAGATTTTTGTAGTTAAAAGATGATAACGTTATTTTTCCGTTATCATTTTGTTTGCCTGATCTATGGAGTTACAATTCAGAAGAACAACTTGAAAAAAGGTGAAATGAAGAATTTGAAGGTAAAACTGAAGAATATCAATATGCTGTGTTTATATAAAGGAGAAATGAGAAAGCATACGTAGGCAGGTATAGAAAAATTGAGATTCCCAAGGTAGTATTGTTAAAAACTCTTGGAAGAGGCATACTGACAAAAGAAATCACCGCTTTTCTCCCTCTTTTGTGATCGTTTTTTGTTGTCAGTTATGGATACAGTTATATTGGTCTTCCCATTCTATTTTTACTGGGAACTTTGGAAAAAAATTGGGGAGAAAGGAGTTTAGAAATAAGCTTGAAAGTTAAAGAAGCGTAATTGATCAAGAGTGGGAATGATTAATTTTGAAATAAGAGCAAAAGGAAATTACCGTACAATTTCTAAAAGGGTGGATCTCAGTCTGGTAGTTTTAGATCTCTATGATTTATTGAGCAATGGGTATAATACAATCAAGAGGGTTACATATTGGCTATAGAGCTAAAAACATAATGATGGAAAATGATGGCGGGCAACGAAGTCAGAAAAACTCGATAGATTTAAGCCAGACTTTTTTTTTTGGTTATATGGAAGACAGACAAATTGTTTGATTGGAAAAATTTGTCAATGTTTTAACGAGCGTTTTTTAGTTGGTGATTTTTCGCTGAAAATTGACTGAAAATTGGTTGAAAATTGACAATCTGGATGCAACTCTGTTAGAGATTTTATGGTAACTAGAAAAACGTTGAAAATTCATCTCTATTCCAAATTGAAAACGGACTTCCAAACAATTTTAGAAATACGATTTCAGGATCGAATATTGCTGTTCTAGTTTTCAAACAATATCCTATTGACAGAATCCTACTGATGAAACAGATTATAGGATTAACTTTAATATTTAGAAAAAACGGACATAACGGAAAATTGGCGCAGAAAGCGGGTACAAACTATGTTGACATAGACTTTTAAAGGTATCTCCCGACCAAAGTGGACAATTCGTCGAAGAACAGATTTCATCAAAGACCAATGAGTACAGTTAGAGAGAAGGGGGGTCAACCCTCGGTCTACAATGTTTCAGCTGCCCGATTTTGTGAATCATGATCGAAAGATCGGCCGGGCTGGAACTAGTTTCAATTTGGTATCTCCTGTCTGAATCTAAATGTGTCAGCTTCGACTTCCTTGTATATTCTGTGTCCGTTTTTTTTCTAAGATTGTTCTCATCAACACAATACACATAAATTTAGAATCATTCTTTATCGTTTCTTTTCGTTCTCAGTCGAAAGCGATTTCAATGATAAAATGAGAGATAAAGCGGAGAAAAAAAAATGGATTAATGATCAGAGGACAGCAAGATGGGATCGTCGGACGTGACTATCATGGGCAGCATGAGAAGCGAAGGCTTTTCCACAATGAGCACACTGAAAATTTTCGGCATTTTGATAATCGTGTATATTTTTGTGTTCTGGATTTCCAGTGATCAGAATGTTTATATTTTCGAGAAAACTGTTTGTTCTGATTAGTATGATTCGGTGAATGAACAACACGATTTAATAACGATTTCTGGAAATTCTCAATTCTTAAACCTGAGTACTAAACTGTTTTTACTTTAGTGTTTACTAGTAACGCATCCGTGATTTTCTGATCTTTATTAGCCTCCCAAAACCACATAGTCAGATCAACAAGTCGTATGATAATGCATCGAAAACATGACCTGATCAGATCACTTTAAATCAATCATTGTGTGTTTTCTTCTTCTTCCCATCTTTGCAATAAAATTTTGGAAGGTTAAACGTCTACATACATCTCTTCCAACTTCAGCCTAGTAGCTTTTTTGAATGAATTTGGCTAGTGATTTGAAGCGATGACGAATTTTTTTTTCAGAAGTATTGGAGGGCGAAGAAGAAGAAAAAAGAAGAAAGAAGATTCATTGCCATTTGCCCTCCTTTCTCCCTCTTTCATTTCGAGAAGAAACTGGACGGCGTTTGTTACTGATCATTTCTATGGGCGACAAGAAAAACTAAGAAAAAAGAAGTGTCAAATGGGATGGCGTTTCTCTAATTCGCCTCAAGACTACAACATAACTACGAAGTGTACCAAGTGGTTTTCAAGTTCCTTTTTTAGCAAAAGTGTTCCGCTTCGAGTGTACAAAAATTACAAAGAGAGACTAATTTGAAACGTTGAGAATTGAGAGGGAAGGGTTCAAAAATACAGTACCGGTCAATAAGATTTACAAAAACCAATGTTGCAATTGATTTTCAGCCACTTCGCCGTTTTTCAAGAACCTGGAGCTGTCAAGCTTGCGATCACCTTGAAAGTTCTGGAAGGTGTAAAATAGACGTAGATTGAAAACTTTACATTTACAGGATTTCAAAAATTCTTAGTTTTTTCAGCCATTTGCCGTTTTCTAAAAAACACCGGCAAATAGCTAAAAACTAGGAGTTTTCAAAAAAAAATTGTTAATGCAAAATTTCTAATTAGGGTCTGATTTACATCCCTCAACATTTTCAAAGTGATCGGAAACAGCCGAGCTCTAGGCTCTTGAAAATGATCAAAACGGCAGAAAATATACTGAAAAAAAAACCGCTTCTGAATATCTTTCCGACCTGTAGTGTAGCTATTTTTCTTTATTTCTTGCGGGCTTGGAAAAATGCCTTGGACTACAGTACCCTCTCCCTTTTCTATTATAATGATTGTCATTTTAAAACCAAACGTTCACTAGAAGACAGAAAATGTTCATTCTTCTTTTCCTACTGGTTTATTCAAAACACACTCACACACAAATTCTGCAAAATTCTTCATAGATCTTTTTATTCCTCTCACCTTGAATGGTTTTTCACCACTGTGTTGTCGTACGTGTGTCCTCAATATGGAAGATGCAGTGAAGGCTTTTGGACAGAAGGAACATTTGTATGGGCGCTCTCCAGAATGGACTCGGAGATGCTGGAAAAGAGATCAATTCAAGTCCAAAAAGAAGAAAAAAGATAACGCAGTCAGCAGGATTCGAACCTACGCGGGCAGAGCCCAATTGATTTCTAGTCAATCTCCTTAACCACTCGGACATGACTGCACATGTTTCTCTCCAAAGTGTTTGCCGTATTTGTTCTCCTCTGCCACCCACCCTTGTCGGCCGACCAGCGGCGCGTAATTAGACATCAGACCGAAAACTATACCTTGTTGAGGCTGCTTGACTGGCTAAACGATTTTTGACAAACGGAGCAAACATGAGGTCGGTGGTTTTCGTGGACATGAAGAATATGAATGCGTAGTCGATCGCGTTTCTCGAAAGACCTGTAAAGTGTGAATGGCACGGTGTTGTATTATGGGTACTTGACGGGGGGAGGGGTGCTCAAGAAGTGTTACGGTAGCAAAATGCTACTTGTTCTATTCACCTATTCTACTTTAGGACACTATTTGTGTGAGAGAATTTGAGAGGGAAGTTCATAAATGTGATTCATAGAAGAACGTATTGAAGTATGACTTAGTTGAAATAGGTAAAGTAAAGATCGAGGCCTCTAAAACCAGAGCCCATATTCATGAACATTTTTCTTTCAAAAATCAACTGGATTATTTTCCAAAAGGAAAATGGAAGCGTGAAAATGTACTGAACATTATTCAAATGATTTTCGACTTGCAGGGTCGCAAAATGACTTTTGGACTAAATTTTCTCAAAATCTACGGACTTAAAATTTCTCATATTTGGTCACAGTACTTAGAATTCTCAGCTCTATCCATTCATGTCATTTGTGTAAAAATCATAATTTTTATGTTAAAGAGCAGCGATTTTTGGGTTTAAAATTAGTTAATAATGCACTTAATATACTATTCTACCAACATACAACTTTTTTAGAATATAAAAATTCATAAAATTGACTGTAAATTTAAATCGAGATTAGTATACCTATTTCATGAAAATAAAAGGATTTTCCAAAAGGAAACGATTTTCCTTCAATTTTCACGCCTTTTCAGTTGATTTTTGGAAAGAAAACGATTTTTCAAGGAAAATGTTCATGAATATGGCCTCAGGTCTGAAATTTTTTGAAATACTGTATTTCCTCTAATTGAAGCCTATGGGTTTTCAACCTCCATCTCAGAAAATTAGCTAATTCTGACTTCATCGGGAATTATGAAAAAATATCTGCAATGACCAAACAAACTAACTTCACTATAAAAAGAGAATACGGTATTTTACAAACCCTGCACCTAGCTTAATACGCATCAGAAATTCGATTTTCACTCTTTCGCTATCGATATTTTTAAAAGATCACCGATTGATGGTGAATTCGTGGTTTTAAAGACCTACTGATTGAAAACAATTTATGAGAATTTCAAAAGTACAAAACATCTCTGATTTTTGTATCCAAACCCTCATTTTGCTTCTTGAATTGTGTTTCCCAAATTATCGTACCTATTACATATTGTGCATGGAAATTTCCTATTGCCATTATCCACGCATCTTGTATATTTCAAATGTTTATCTCTGTAGTACTCGTAGCTGAACACTTTTCCACATCTTTTACATGAAAAGCCATCTGATCCGTTTTCTGTAAAAATTAGTTATTTTTAAAGAACTGTTCTTCCATTTCATGTATCTCCGGGAAAGAACCCTCTTGCGTGTTTTTTTGAGTAGAGCTATTTGAATAAAATTGGATTAGAGATGGGATGATGGGAAGCAAGATAATTAGAATTCCGGTGACATATCCATCCCAATTTTTTTGTTTTTCCAAACTTCAGAGTGTTCTTTTTTGCAAACAATTACCGTCTTCCGCTGCCACGTCATCGGGCGTTGGAGGCTCTTCAACTTCTGATTTTCTGTCTTCTGGTGGTGTTCTGCAGATTACAATCTCGGCGCCACACTCAATGTCAGCAACAACTTTTGAATGTACAATATTCGCCGAATGACTACTTTCCTTGGCAAAACGCCACCATGCATCAGGCAGCTGAAAATAGAAAGTGGACGACGATTTATGGAAAATTAAGAGACTGAAACTGTTCACTGGTGATAACTGATTTAGACTGATGGTAATGAAAATGGGAGGACTACAAAACTACAAAATAACATATAGGTCTGATTTGTGAAACGCTTGCAAATCTGAGAAAACATCTACAGTGACCCGCTCATAATATTGACAATGTTCCTTATTCGCTAAACATCAGTAACAATTTCCCTTACACATTGCAAATCATAGGATCGACCCTATTCCAAACCTCTAGATTAGTTCCTGCTTTGAATCCTCCGGGTTTGAAACATAGGAGTGTTGTGAAGCATCCGGTGGGCAACTGAAATGTGTTCAAGAGCACTCCAGGGTCATTTGCACACGCCAGTATTTGTTGGGGATGAGCTGAATAATGGATTTTCAAAGAAGTCGGAAAATACGGACCAGATCAGGCAAGATACAAAAAAAAACAAGAAAAAAGTGAACTCACGAAGAGATAAGAGTGAATGTTGCTTCATTGGAACGAATTGACCCTTTTTTGCCAGTATCATCTGATTCACCAGATGAATTAAAGGATTTATACCAAAAAATGGAATAGTGTGAAAGTTTGGAATCATAGTTGTAGGATTCTTCAAAAACATTGGGAACCCATTTGGGACCATCATTCTGTCGACATCAGAATTCGACATAGATACTCTTTTCTTAGAAGATTGAAACAAAAACGAGATAGCACCCACACACAACCGAATACTACGGTAGGGCGGTAGAAGAGGCGGGCGCTCAATTGCTCGGGTTTTCCTTATTCGACGGTGTTTGCTTTCAGACACGAGTGGCGGGAGCACAATGAGACAAGGAGAGGAGACGGGCGCGAGGAATGTGTCACCACATGGAATTAGAATGGACTAGTCAGAGGGACCTCATCTATTTGTTGAGACCTCCGCACAAGAGGTTTCCAGTCATCCACGGATACAAAGAGGGGTTTAGAATACTAATTTGTACAAATGTTGAAATATTTGAGTCTTGGAGAAAAAACAATTCTGAGGAACAGTCGTTGCTTCGGGCGTTATCGGTTCAGCAAAAATTGCTAACTTGTTTTCAGTGAATTGGGGGATTCACAACTCTCAGCATGAAAGCTGCAAAACTTGAAACCAATACCCACCGTTCCGGTCAATAAGATGTGAAAAAAACGTGTTTTTGGGGCGATTCAGAATATTTTCAAGAGTCTGGAACTTGGCTGTCAAGATTTCAATTATTGAAAATTTTGGCGAGTGTGAAACAGACATAGATTGAAAACTTTGCATCCCCAGAACTTTTTGAAAATTAATAACTTTTCAGCTACTTGCCGGTTTCTTCACTGATTTTTCACGTTTTCAGTACATAAAACCATACTTGCAACGGGCCGGGCCGAAGCGACAATTTTCTCGGCCGGCCCTTTCTCAGTAAAAAAAATTTCCAATGAAAAATTGGGACATTTTTTCGAATTAAAAAAGAAAAAAAAGTTACATACTTTTTAAAATTATCAAAGTAGAAAAAAATTCAAAAAAAATCAGCTTATGTACAAACAGCGGCCTGGCCCGCTGGCCGACCCGGAATTTTGCAAGTATGCATAAAAAAGGTAAAAATGAGCGTCATGCAATAAAATGGCAAATAGCTGAAAAACTAAGAATTCTCAAAAAATTCTGTGAAAGTAAAGTTTTCAATCTAGGTCTGTTTTACACCTACCGAAAATTTCAAAACGATCGGAATTTTGACAGTCGAACTCCAGACTGTTGAAAATAGACAAAATCAACTGAAAAACACGTTTTTGTGCATTTTATCCACCTGTAGGTTCGTACTGTAGGTTTGATACTGAAAAATCTTATTTCAGTACGTTAAGACAGTGCTTTTTGCTTTTGAATTCAGGCCTTATGCCCAAATTTCAAAAAGAGAATCTTTCTCAATGTTTTCTCTTAACCAAAACACTAACTGAAGTTTACCTTATCTGAAAATGATTTCTTATTTCCGAACTGAAACAAAGAAGAGTTCTCCAATTTTTTATTTAATTCGGGCAACAAAATACAAACCGTCATTTCGAATATTTTCACAATCAGGGAAGAAAGACAATGAACAGAATTCTAATTAGCCGGATTGGTGTTGAGGCGTCAACACTGTTGAACAATCCATACTATGAACGGTAGTTATGGGATTTTTAGTTACGGCAGTGTTACAAAACAATGGTGAAGACAGAGTAAACATTGGTAAAGAAGGGAGTATTGAGAGGTAAGATTTAAAAAGCGGATGGATTCGAGAAATGAGGGTATTGAAGGATAATTGACAGGAGAAGTTTGAAAAATGCGAGATGAGGTGAAATTCTGAAAAAAGGGGATCAAAAAATTAAGACAATATGAAACGATGCCATAGCTTGGAAGGTGAGAAGAATGTGAAATCATGGATCGGGTGTGACAGATAAGCGGCAAGAGGGAAAGAGTAGAGAAAACTAGGAATAGGACGCTTAATGGTGGAGACGGACCATGTGATCGCGAGTACAACAAAAATCAAGTTCACAAATGATAAACAGAAATGCTTTTGCAGAGAGAAAGTGACGAATCGTAAACATTGAAAATCCAATTGGGGTATATCGCTCCGAAGAGATTCACAAAATGGTCCTCACCATCCAGATGGTGATAAAGTACATTGACATTTTTGGTAAGGAAATAGGAGAGGAGGTGGCATCATAAAGTGAGTGAAGAGAATCACCGGGATGGATCTCACTAATAAGAAAATTTTCAAGGTCAAAATCCATGGGTTATAGCCTTGAAAGATTCAGAGAAGCTGAAAAAGAGGAAGCAATCGGAACGAGAAGGAGGTGAGAATGAATGAGGGTCTGGAAAGGGAGAAGGCAACAAGAAATTATGCAGATTCAAAATACTAATTATAATAAACTGCATTGATCGTCGTCTTTAGACTGTCTCCTACTTCTGTCCGCCTCTCTTTTCCTCCTTCTTCTTCTTCTCTGAATCCAAAACGTCTCTCAGCGATCCCACCATGTAGGGGAAGGAAAACCTTTCGTTGTTACTGTCCCTGGTCTCCCAGAGGGGCTCCAACTGAAAATTTATTGGTTTAATCTTGCTACTACAAACATTTGTCTTACGGTAGCCTCTGTATCCACCTCATCGGTCCCCGGGAGGCGAGTGATTGGAGGGCGTGGTTGAGATTGCTCTTGAAGGCTTCGCCAGAATTGTGGGAACCTGGAAGTAATACTACCGAGACGTTCCCTCCGAGTTGGCTCTGGCTCAAAGTGACGTCCCGGTGGTGGCTGAGTAGCCCGAGGAATGGATGCAGCCATAGCGGGCGGTGGGCAGGTCGGTCTGGGGATGGAGGGCAAGTTTCCCGACGCCTCAAAGGTTGCGACCTGGTATTCAAACTTCACAATTTGCGAATTTTTTGGAGACTACTCACTCTGTTCCCGTTTCTCATTCGCTGATTGTTTCCAACTGGCGTGAGAAGGTTGCCAGCTTGGTTGTTGCTGCGATGGTCTTTTCCTTGGACTGTCTGAGTCTGAAAATAGATATTTCGACGTTTTATACTCTGGGAAATAAGAAAAATAGACTGAATACTATTTTGGTTCGAATCCTCAACAAATTTAGCTGGTTGTAATTTTTGTTCAAAAATTGTGGTTATAAAATTATTCAAAACAGTTGAAAAACTCTCTAGCTGGACAAGCATGTAATGTGATCAAAACTGTCAAAGTTTAGAGCTTTTTCCAAGGAAAGTTTGCCAGTGTACAAACGAAACTAACCTGCTTCATGGTCAGTGTATCCTCATTCTTGAGGAGCTTCTTTTTTGGCTCGCCTCTTTCCTCCTTCTTGTCCTTTTTCTCCTTAACACAACAATTTGTACTTGGAAAATAAACTTCCACTACGAATTACCTGTTTCTTATTCATTTCCGGCTCAGTATTCCCTTCCTCACTATTGGCAGCCAGAAAATCCTGAATATTTCGAACTGCGTCCACTGATGGAATACGTGGACGACCTAGAATTTAGAAAATAGGAACAATAAAGAGAAGAATCACTTACCTGACGCCGGTGAACTAGTGGTGAAATATTTCCAAAAATGTAAAATGCCCATCTCTGAAAAAGTAAATTTTCCCAGACCAAAAAAAAAGAAAAGCGAGGGCGGTGGAAAACTGACAGTAAAAACGATGGGAATAAACGGGAATTCGGGAGAAGCGGGGGACGATAAAACACATTTTGAAACAAAAAAAGAGAGTTGTTGTTTGAGTATATGCATAAGCCTCTATAATCAAACGGGGAAATGAATCAAAATGTTGCTTGTTTAGAATTTCCCGTAAAAAATGATATAAAGAATGGGCAATTGAAGGGTCTGAAAGTTCGAAGAGCTAGGGATTGTTTTTTCAAGTGTTGTCACTTTTAATGAACAACAAAAAATAGTAGATATGTATATGCACTTCACCTAGTTGAGAGACAGAACAAAATTGGCTTCATAAATGTGTTTTGGTAGTTCACTAGACTTTTGATTTCCCCATTTTGAACAATACCAATGATGCATTTAGTATGAAAGTTTTTGAGGAAAACAGTATTACACCTACTAAGAACATTAAATTTCGAAAAAGTTTTTATATTTTCGGAATTTCGAAATTTTTAGGTTTCAGGAATTTTTGAAGTTTCAGGATTTTCGAAAATTTGGGAACTTTGGAAATCTGTGATTCTCAAAATGAGGAATTTCTAGAATTTTCGGTAAATCCAAATTTACAAAAACGGACATCTTAGAGCTTTCGGATTTTGAGAATGTTGAAATTTTTTTATGTGTGGTTTTTTAGAATTCTTGGAGCTCTGGAAATTTCGGAAACTTCCAAATACTTGAAAACTGAAATTTCGAATATTTTGAATTTCCAAAAATAAAATTTTGGAATTTTCGGATTTTCAGATTTTCAGAATTTTGAAACCTCCAAATTCCCAAAAACTGAAACTCTGAAACTTTCAGATTCTGGGTAAGTTGGAAGTACCGGAATTTCAAACTTTTGGAATTATATTGAAATTTTTATAAATTATCGAAATTCCCGATGTTCGGAATTTTCGGAATTGTAGAATTTGGGTTTTTTGAAATAATTTTTTAAAACCTCCGGAATTCCTAAAACTGAAATTCCAAAATTTTCAGTTTCTGGGAAAATTGAAAATTTCGGTATTTTGAAATTTCGGAAAATCTCAGAAATTTCCAAATTTTACAAAACTGAAGTATTTCAGAATTTCGAAAATTTCAGAATCTTTTAAATATCGGTTTTGCCTGGATATTCGTTGTTTTAGAACATATGATTTTTCTCAAAATTTTTTGAAAACTGAAACTTCGAAATTTTAGGATTTTATGAATACTGAAATTTTCGAATTTTGGATTTTTCAGAAATTTGATATTTAGAATGTGGGAATTTCGAAAAAACTCGGATTTTTTGGAGTTACGGTCTTTTTGAAATTTCGGATTTTTCGAAAAATCTGAATTTTTGGAATTCCGGGTTTTTTTTAATTGTTGTAATTTTGATATTCAACTATGGTATTTTTGGGATCTTCGAATTACTAAAAACTGAAATTTCGGAGCTCTTGGATTTCGAGAATAATGGAAATTTCGGAATTCCGGATTTTTTTTGAATATTAAATTTTGGAAACAATAAAATTTTCAGGATTCCGGAATTCTCAAATATTGGGAATTTCGGGAATTTCGGAATTCTGGGATTTTTGGAATTTCAGATTTTTCAAAATTTTTGAAATCGAAACCTCTGATTTTTCAAAAACAGAAATATAGAAAGTTTTGGTTATTGGGAATATGAAATTTTTCGGATTTTTGGAATTTTCGAGTTGATAATTTTTAAATATATCTACTTATCAACAGCGAAATTTGAACAACTAACATAAGCGAATCAAGTCTCGCAACACATAATCTATCTCAAAAGAAATAAAATATGTCGGTTAAAACCGCCCTCCTCCCTCCTAACAATAGTGTTTGGAAAAGTTAAGGAAAGAAAAAAAAAATAGCTCATTCTGCCCTTCTTTTTTCCTCTCGTGTTTGTTCTTGGCACCAAAGGATGAGTGTACAATGTGTCATTACAGTATCCCATTCCGAATAAATATTTTTAATTGGTTTGTGCTGTGAGGTGCCAGACTACAATGTGTCATTACAGTATCCCATTCCGAATGAATATTTTTAATTGGTTTGTGCTGGGAGGTACCAGAATTTAGATGATAGAAAAGAGAGGTCAGACACACACACAGAGTACTGTATCAGGGACTCATAAATTAGAGAAAATTATTGGCTCAATGAGAAACTCAATCGAACCCCTAAACTGAAGCTTAAATATCTCGTTACCTATGCAAGTTATCAAAAAAATTTAACAGATAAAATGTCGGTGAGATTGTGATCAATATTTTACTAGTTGACAAAACTTTGATATCTTTCTCAGAAATCGAGATAATTCAGCTTAAAATTGACGGTTTGGGTGAGGTTCTATTAGAGAAAATACGGTATTTTCATTTTGTTTTTGGAAATTCAGACAGTATCTTCATAAAAAAGTGACGATAATCAGTTTATTTTTACTGTTTCACAACCAAAAATCAAGGGTCAGACTATCTCCTATACTTTTAGCTTAAAACTGTAAACAACATTCTAGTCTGGTTCGAAATAGTCTATAGTCCCCAAAACATGATCTCTGTTGTGGAACAGGTGAATAGAAATTGTATTGGAAATCAAAACTTATAGAAAATTTTCAAAACTTTCTATAGAAACTCGAGAGTCTAGACAGGGTTCATTGTTAGGCGTTCTGCAGAAAAAACAACCCGTTGCAAAGTTTCAACTATCGAATACTCAGAAAACAATTCTACCCTTTCATGGAGATTTACCGAACGTCTCCGTCACATTAGGCACCGAGGGCAAACCAATGTGTGCATTGTATTATCATTAACCCGGGGAAACCGACATTTCGTAAATGGCAAATCATTGATATGGGCATGCATAAATAACGTTATCAAGAAAGAAGGTGATTGAAAGAAGAAGATAAGAACGTTGGGAATTTAAAAAAAGAAGAAAGGATAACCTAAACCTGCTCATACGATTCCCATTCTCTAATCCACATCTCCAGCAGAGTCAAGGCGTATGGTCTAGAAAACAGCAAAAGAAACAGCAAGTCACCGCATACCAACGTCTTCAGCAGAACTATAACGTATCGCCTAGAAACTAACAAGAAAGACAATCGAGAAGTAACTCGGACAACCGAATGAGAGAGCAAGCGCAGAGACAATAAACGCAGAGAAACAGAAACAGAAAATGTCTGCCACCGACTAGGAAAAGTAGGCGGGGCGTACCAGCTATATGCCACTCGGTCATCCACACAAACAAGCTAGGGACCCCTGGTAGTCCAATGGCATCGTAACTGCACACCATCTGGCACCGAGAAAAACTTGTAAACATGAAGAAACTGTTTGGGATTCATTTTTTTCTGAGGGATCTCAGAATTTTCTTTCAAGAGAATTAAGGAACCAGAAAGGAGTAAACGAGAGAGTAAAAGAATGCCAGATCTTCAAGCAGTTAAACAGGCAGTGTGTTCCAGCTATAAAATATGTCAGAGAAAAAAAGAAACTCTTAAAAATAAGTATTGATGATAGGGTATCGGAAAGGCCGACCTATATATTCCGAAGGGGTTACTGTACTAAGATATCGAAATCTAACTAACCACTTTTGAGAGAGTCAGCATTAAAAATGACTCTACTGACAGTTTAAACTGATTCCGCGAATTTACCGAAAGCTTTGAAATTGGACACATGAAAAAAATTTCGACTGTTTTTTCATGTGTAGCAGAATCCAGGCACTTGCTCAAAATACACTACACTACAGTATCCTTCAAACGTTCCGACGGAGATAATCCCAGGATATTTCACGACTCCAACAGAAACAAATCGTCTAGCCTAAGAAATAGGAAAAAAAACAATCGAGCAGTAACTCGGACAACCGAATGAGAGAGCCAGCGCAGAGACTAAACACAGAGAAACAGAAACAGAAAATGTCTGCCACCGCCTAGGAAAAGTAGGCGGGGCGTACCAGCTATATGCCACTCTGTCATCCACGCAAGCAGGCGGGTGGGCCCTGGTACTCATCGTAACTGCGCACCATCTGGCTCTGAGAAAAACTTGTAAACACAATGGGACTCTCTGAAATCCATGTTTCTCTTGCGTGCCAGCTATCGGGTGAGCCTCGACGAAGAAAACTATAAACTCTTAAAATCCCGTCTTGATGACAATGATGAGAACAGAGTAAAGAACAAGATAAATAAAAAATTTCACTAGGGTCACTGTATTTTACAAATCTGATTTTCAAAAATACAGAAACCCTAAAATCTGATTTTCAAAAATAGGGTAACCCTACAAATCTAATTTTAAAAACTACAGTAACCCTACAAATCTGATAGCTTAAAATACAGTAACCCAATAAATCTGATTTTAAAAACTACAGTAACGCTACAAATCTAGTTTCGTAAATTGAAGTAATCCTATACATCTGATTTCTTAAACTATAGTAACACTACAGACTTGATTTTGTAAAACACAGTAATCCTACAAACTTGATTAAAAAAACAGTAACCCTGGCGCGATGGGAAACAATTATCCGACGGAGAAGAATCTAACTGATTTTTAGAATCATCGCGAAAAAGGTGATCGGTCTAAAACAAAAACTCCTGTTTTCCCTCAAACTACATTATGCTACAGTATCCCAGAGACGTTACAACTCCTCTTCCGTCTAGCCTTAATGTGATACAGGTTTCATTGGAAAACTCATTTTTCTATTTTGCAAAAAATAATATGTTTACGACTTTGAAAATTCTACACTCAAATGGCACCGTAACTGCAAACCATCTGGCACCGAGGGAAAATTTTAAGCAGCTAAAAACTCTCCGAATTCTTTGTTTTCCTGGGCCACCAAGTTTGCTTAAAAAGTGAAAAAGCCAGAAAGAAAAGAGAGAGAGAGAGAGAGAGAGAGAGAGAGATCCGTCATACTTCGTTTTGGTATCTTATCAATTTCCAGACGAAAAATCTTACAAACGATCTTATTGACAGATAAGACTCATTCCGCGCCCTTTCCTACAACTTTCTTCTTCTTGTCTGACTATGAGAGATATTTAGCGGAGAGGAAGCTGAGCTGATTTTCCAGACAATTTATTGTAAAACATGGAGCTGTACCTAAAATTCGTCTATTTTTTTCCTGTGTGGCAGAACCCAGGTATCAGCTCAAACTAGACTACAATACAGTATCCCAGAAACGGTCTGGGATACTTATTCCTCCTCCTTTTTCCCAATCACTGCTTCCTCCATTGAAACACATGTGTGTCTCTTTCTTTTCCCTCTAGCTCTTGTTTTGGTGCCCGGTGCCAGGCGGCACAGGTTTCTTCAAAAAACTCATTTATTCTTTTATTGGTAAAAAAATATGTTTACGACTTCAAATTGGAGGGGGGGGGGGGCTTAAATGGAATGGGAAAGTACAGTATCTACACGGAGAGAAAGTAGAGAGAAAGGCGAAAACAAGGAGAATATGGGAACACTAGTAGAAGGGCCTTTGGGTTTCTGTCTGAAAATTGACTATCGGAGAAAATAGTTTCAAAAATTGAGAATATTCAAAACCAGCTCGGGCAAAGGCATGCGGGAAATAAATTGAGGTATAATTAGAGTTTACGCACTATCAGCCAATTGATCTGTATATAAACAAGTTTTAGAGATTCCTAGTCTAGAACTACACCAGGAGAAGAGGACGAGATGGAGAACAAGCCAGATGGAAGAAACATTTGCTCTAATAGTTTCGATTGGGATAAAGACAAAAATCAAAAAATAATTGGAAGCGTCCCTAGAAAAACAACAGACAGTCAGGAATTTCGAAATTCAAAATTCCCATCCCTTCTCTTATCATACTGTTCCAGACAGCATAGATTTTCCAGATCATACAGCTGGACATTGAATGCCTTCATGTCCCAATTTCAAAACAAAACATTTCGCGAGTAGTTGCGGTTTTTGATGTCAAGAACTGATTAAATGGGCTGAGCTTAGATGGCGATAAGATATGAAATGTCCTGAAGCCTCTTCAAACAGTCGATTCGCGAAAAAAGAAATGTTGAAATTCGCAGCACAAAAAAAAAGAAAATCACCCTGACAACATCATCATCAGCTCGGAACGAGTATCTCTTTTAAAAATTTCAAAGTAGCAAAAAGCACGAAAATCAGATCAGGGTGATAGAAAAATGATAAGTGAAGCGGAAAAGGTTTAGGCTAGAGTAACTTTTGGTTTCCCTCTTGTTTGATTTTCAAATTCCATTCAAAAAAGGGGTTCCTGATCAGGTTTGATAAAGGAAATCTAGATTATATAGGACTTAACAGAAGATCCAAAAAAAATAGCAAAAGTGGTTTTTAAAGCTATCAAATTTATCTTAAAAATACCTTTAAAAAACTCGATTTTAAGCAAATCCTTAAATTTATTCTTGTAAAATTACGGGCCGGCCCGCGATCCTGAGGCCCGTCGAGAATTTCAGCGTGCCTAGCCGGGCTGGGACAATGAAATGTTGACCCGCTATTTGTACAGAAGCTGATTTTTGAAAAAAATTTTTTGAAAACTTTGAAACTTTTTCAAAAATTCAATCAAAAACGCAATATACTTTTGACTACTTTTTATTTTGATAACGTTAATAATGTAACGTGTAATTCAAAAAAATGTCCCAATTTTTCACTGGAAATATTTTTTACTGAGAAACGGCGGGCCACGGGCGGAGTCACGGGCCGGGTCGGGAAAATTGTCGCCACGGGCTGTCGCGTTGCAAGTATGGTAAAATTGGATCATCCAGAAAAAAAATTGTAAGCAGAAATTTGCTTAAGAACATTTATAAATTCTGCAGATATTCTTTTGTTTCGAAAGTCTACGAATTTTTGTAGGAGGAGTCAGACAGGCTGACCTTTACGTCTTCTTCTCCCTGTCTGGCATGCCACTTAGCCTGGCACCAATGTTTCCAAGAGAGGGACCGTCCAATCTGAATATTAAACCGAAAAAAAAACATCAAGTATTGAACGAACTCCTGTTCAAAGCCAGGAATGAGAAAACCCTTCCGAAAAGAATATTTCTGACACTTTCCTGAGATAACCGGGTCCACAGAAGAAAAATGTAGTACTAATACTTTAGTTTCGAACAACATTGGTTCTGCTTTGAATTTTCTGATTTCGTAATATTTCGAATTTTTGTACAATCGAGGTAGAAAAAGTAAAAATCGTACTTGCAAAACATAAGCTTTTTTCCAATCAACATCGGACACCTGTCGCCCTAGAAATGGCCCTCGTGTATGTTGATTTTGTGATGTCGTGTGGATAGAGACAGATGTACAATTCCTGTGGTATGTTACTACAAATTTTGAAAGTTTGAAAACATTTTCATCGACAAATGACAACAACTGGTGTCTAGAGGAGGTGTTAGACCTTTGAAAAGGGGACACTCAGGCATACGATTTTCAATATCTGCGTTTCTAGAAATCATAAAACGTTCCCTTTTCATATATCATCCGGCATTACAATTTGAGCTTTGCATCGGCAGTAGAAAAGTCTGAAACTTCACTTGTCAAAAATTCCAGTCAAGATGTTTTTTCTTCATTGTCTCAGTTGTTTGTGTTCCTTATCATCTTACGTGGACACCTAGAAATTTATTTCTAGAAAAATATTGATACATGAGAAAAGAAGCTGAAAATAGCAATTTCCTGAATTTCGAAGAAGCTTTACCGTGCGAAAACAAAGGAAAAGACGGTTTTTTACACAAAAATGATGGAGTTAATGGACCACTTATTGGGCACACATTACCAATCTGCATTTCATGTACATTAGCTCAATCTCCAATATTCAGTAGTAATAGTTTTAGTTTATCCTTTTTCTCGTCCAACGATTGCTGCTCCTTATTCTGAGTTACCTCTGTTTTCCGGTGTGGGTTGTAAATCAAGTCACTGTGCACAATTAGATATCAAATTACTTATTCCTATGTGTCACAGACACAAAGCTTTGAAACAATAAAGACGGAGATTAGATATTGTTGTGAATCTGTGATAAGAAAAATGTCTGAAAAACTCTTATTAATAAACTTGGCATATTATTTAGTTGATAAAGAAGTGAATGAAAATGCTGAAAAATTGAGAAATGTAGCAAAAGCTCTTCGCCCAATCTTAATTCAATCCAATGATGGAAATTCTGGAATTGAGTCGACGCCACCCAAGTAAAAAGTTCTAACGGTCTGGAAAAGTTTGCAGTTTATGTTTCTTCCAGCCTTGCAAAAAATAGTCTGAAAATTTTTTAAGTTTATTTTGCCAAAACCACTATAAATTTTTTCGAAAAAAAAATGACAGGAAAATATATGGCGTGAAGAATGTATTAGAAAAGCCTTTTAAATAGAAGAGTCCCTCTCATATGACCCTCCGAGATTGGCTTGGAAAAATATAATTGCCCCTTTCCAAGTCGCCGTATCGCTTAAAACTACAGTTTATCATAGGTTTTCAGTGAAAAAATATTCAGAAAATTCCAATATTCCCTGAAATTTTCATGGATTTGGGACGAGTATTCACCAAATTTTTTGATGCAATATTTTGAAAAGAAAATGTCAGGAAAAATGAAGGATCCCTTTCTAATTAAAGGGACCCTGTGTCAGAAAGATTTTCCGAAGGTACCTTACTAGGGAAGGTTGTAACTGGGGTATGGGACTTTGATATGAGGCCTATATCATTCGAAAGCTGAGAATGAGACATTTTCAAATATATATATATATTCAGATTTTGCTGCGGAAATTCCAGATCCGAGAAAATCGAATTTGAAATTTGGCTGAAATTCGAATATTTTGAGGGCCAGATCTCCCCCTTTCTTATATGCATTGTGGAACTAGTTGAAAGCAGCGACTGGTGGTGTAGCGGTGAAGAGGGAGAACGGTAACTGACTAGGGTTGGGTTCGATTCCTCTCTCCTTTGTTTGTTTTTGTTTTTGTTTTCGGTCTTTGTGGAAATCTTCAAAATGTTAAGAACACATTTTTCAAAAACATTTCATTTTGATACTGAAAAATTGTACTTTCTTAAATGTTCTAAGTAATATCTTTTGTCAAAGTTCATAAGGATGGTTCGTTTTAAGAGCCACACATCAATCAGACATGATTTGTGTCTATGATTTCTCAAATTTTGAGTGTTACTGGGCGATCATCGTAGGACTACGGTTTGTTGAAAATCAGAAAAAGAATCAAAATGTCTTGATCCCGAGAAGAAAATAGGTTATCAAATTTTGTAAAAACCTAATTTGCTTGTTCTTTTTCGTTTAATACCTTTTCAGCCGAAAAAAAATTTTTCAAAAATTTTCAAAAAAAAAGTCAAGGGATACCCCATGGAACTTTTTTTCAAAATGTTTTTTCTGAAAGAAAAAACGCTTAAACTTGGTAAAATTGTACAGAAATTTCTAAATTTGCGATCACAATAAAAAAAAAACATCGAAAATCTTTTGTAAACCATTAACTTTCTATTCTCAAAAGTCAAAAAGTGGTTTGAAAAAATGACTCAAAAATAGTTTTCAAAAGCATGTAACCACAATTTCAAACAGTTACAGAGAACACAGTATGATCCTGTAAGTTTTTCATGTTTTTTCAAAAAAAAAATTTTTTTGGAAAAAAGTCACCATGGGGTCCCCCCTTTGCTTTTCCAAAATTGAGATTTCAAACTCGATTTTCTCGAATATGGCAAGTCCGCAGCAAAATCGAATTACATTTTTGAAAATGTCTCATTTTCAGCTTTCGAATGATATAGGTCTCATAACAAAGTCCCATACCCCACAAACAACCTTCCCTAGTTAGAACAGTAGAAGGTTTCGGTCCTTCTAATACTGGTTTTACGCTAATTTTTTTCGAAGGGAAAAAAAGAAAAGGGTTGAAAAATTATTAAGCGTTACAGTTAGTTGTTTTATTATCATGATGATTCTACTCAAAAGATGAAGTTATGGTTTTCGGCGCTATTGTGGACTTCAATCCAATTCGTATGTGGAAATGATGTGTGGAAAGCGGCGACGGATTCGGTTGTCGTTTCTGTATCTTCTCATGGCATTTCGTCGAGCAGATCTATCGTTTCGTGGCGGGACCTAAAAATTAAGAATGTTTCCGGAAGAATAAATTCGAAACTACATTTCTGATGATTGTACGTCGGAGATCGCGAATGTTCTCGCTTCGTTGCATAGCATATTCGAGTGTCTTAGCCCAAGTTTCAGCAGGGACCGTTGTGAAATCCTGAAAAAAATGTATGTTTACTCCACTCAGTGTCTCTCGTCTGTCTGAAACTAGAAGCCTATCTATTCTATTACGTGCTATATCAGGCGACCCTTAGGTTAACGACGTCAGGGATTAACACACTCTACTCCCTCTTCTACCAGTATGATAACTAATCTCATTGACTACATTCTTATGTATTCACTAGGGCCCAAAGACAAAAAACACAAGTTAAGGACTGAAATCATTTTTGAATAAAAATCATATGTCACGGGGGAAGGATCAACTTACTCCATTTGCAAGAAAATTGCTTTTATCCGTAGTGAATGGAACCGAATATTTGACATTAGGCTCCTCTCCATCAGCACGGACCGAATGCCAAACGATTCGGTATTGTTCCTCGGTCAGATACTCAAAAAGACGACACTTTCTCATTCGTTGAATACGAAGTTGCTCTTGAGTGTCAATTTGTGGAGGTTGAACCTGAAATTATTCATTATCAAACTGATTCAAAAATAGGACACACATACGTTAGTAAGATCCACTGGAATTCCATGGTATTCTTCAATTGGAGTTGGGAACTCTGGTGCCTTCTTGTCAAATTCCTTGTGTTTCTGATATGGAATTAATTGAACAGTGAAGACCGGACGAAGAGGAACCACACGGATAACTCCTTCGGAAACGATTGGCTGTAGATAAGAAGACAAAAAGTAGCTTTGTGATCCAGCTTTTGGCTTACCTTTGGAGCTGGAGCGGCTATTGGGGCGTCCGTATTGACTCCAGCGTTCTTTCGGATGATACGTGGTCTCTTGATGACGACCTCCTCTTCGGAGTCACTTGAATATAAAGAGCTACATGTAGAAAAACACTCCATAGAATCTGCTGGAGACATCTTACAGCTTCTTATTACCTGAAAAGATGCTGCTTAAAATAAAATTTCACTTTCGCATTAAAAAAAAATTTCTGGAGAACGCTATCTGAAACTCACGTTGTTTTTCAGACTTCGAGAAATATTAAATTACGGTATCACTCGTTTTGACTGTGATTTTGCTTTAAGACTCGCCATAAAACGACACGAATTTTTCATTTTTAGCAGAAAAAAATACAATCAAAATGAGTGATACCGTAGTTTAGTGTGTCTGGAAATTTGGAAAACAATGACAGCTTTGGACATATTTTTGCATTAATTAATTAAAAACGTGGAGAAAAATCTATTAAGGCATGCTGGAAAAGAAATTAGGGAATGCCTTCTTAAAGTATGTTAATCTGAAAACGAGATCTTCAGCTTCTAGATAGAGAAGAGGCGGAGCTAGTCCCTCTTTGGAAAACAAGAGTTGGCTTGTCTGATTTCCAGTCAACAACTAGAATTGTACTCATTGGAAAATTCATGTGACAATGACAACAGGAGTAAACAAAGCCAATAAGGAGTTAATGACTTCAAAAAATTTCGTGTGATTTTTTTTTGAAAAAAAAGAGTTAAGGCAGGTTGTTTATTTATAAAATGCAACAACGAAATTTTTATACGGTAGATAGTGATCTAATGAAACTTTAGTTTATCGAATCTATCACTAAAATCAATCACCCGGAGAAAAAAAAAAAGAAAAAAACGAAAGAAGATAGAAAAATAGGAGAGAATAACGATAGATAAGGAACGATGTAAAAAAGTGAATGCATTCTTTTCTGAACCGTTTCAAATAAAAAATCGCTATCCTTTTTCTTTGCCTTTCCCTTTCAATAATTTTCTCGGCGCGAATTGAATTTTTTTCGATGGTTGTTGTATCATTATCGAAAACTGTGCAGGGCGAAGAAACAGTTACAGTAATCTGCTGACTGCTTTGAGGACCGAGATTACAGCGTTTCTTTGTGAAGAAGGGTGTTACAGTAATCCATTACTCAAGAAAATGTGATTCTATCTTCACAATCTTTGGCGGTTTACTGTAATACGGAATGAATGTAACAGGAATGCCTTGAAACTAAGTTTTGAGAGTGTTGCGTGCGGCATGCTTGTCTTAGGATTGCTAGAAACCTCATTTTGCTCAAATAAAATTTTCAAAAATTCAGTATACCGTATTTCCTTTTATGAAATCCTACATGAACCGTCGACTTTGACCTCAGTTATCTCAATTTCTACGGCAGATATCCAAAAATGGTCTACGGATAAATTATTAATCATAATATCACCAATATGTTACCAGTTGACTAAACTACGATATCTTTCACAGAAATCGAGATAATTGAGCTCAAATTTAACGGTCAAATGTTTCTATTAGAGGAAATACGATAAGTAACCCTGGAGTTTTTTGGTTCCTAGCTCACCCGTGTTGGAATGCCACCGTAGTATGATGACTTTTGATTGTTGATATGCCTCGGTGCCTGATGTCCTCTGATAATTACCGAAGAATCGGCATTGGCAGCGACTGGACCACTAATCTCATCCACACTCTCCACCATTGTGTACCACTAGTTTGTTTGGTGTACACCTGAAAAACAAGAAATTGTAGCTTGGGTGACACGTCAAGAAGATATAATAAGAACTAAAAAGAGCTTAAGAAGATGGAGGAGAAGGCAATGGCACGTGTCCTCCGTTGCCATGAGGGTGGAAAGAGGGATTTGTAGAGACGAAGGCATAAGATTTGAAATGATTAATGGGGAGAATGTGAAAATGGAAGAGGAGAACTAAGATATATGCATGCATCTCTCTTAGTTTATCCAAAATGAGAGTGTGGTGGTTTCTGGCGACGATTCGGAAGGAGAAACAAAATGTGAATGTAAGTGAAAAAACACCTATGACCAGGATACGGAGATCATGATAAACATGGTGATACTGATAATGTTTGACATTTGAAGGAACGAAAAATCCAGAATACCTCACATAAGAAAGAAAGGATAAGTGTTTTCTTTGCGACATCATGACCAGAATACTTGACATCGAGACGACTGGACTATATTTTGAGTTATCTGAAGGTGTTTTTTAACAGTATGAAAAAAAAGGTTCTACACGAATATACGAAAGTCTCCTCCGTCCGTTTTTGGTTGGTCATTTTCCACAGTTTTTTTTCTGCATCGGAAATCGTTTATCGTTGACATATTTCTTCCAGAAAAAGGTGGGATATCATTACATCTCAGAAAGATGAAAAAAGACGGAACCAAATGAATAAAAAGAGAAAAAGATAAATTCCTTGCAAAAAATACAGTTTTATTGACCGTTTGTCTTCTCTATTACACATCAGAAAAATGATTTGTCGAAGGCGTGGTCGAATGTGTTTAGAAGGGGTCTTCAAATAGAACAGTGGAAGAGAAAGCGTCGAACGGACACCACCACCGACGACGGTAGAAGAGGGTGACAGTTTTTGCGAGTGATCCGCGGAAATGTCGGTCGCGTGAATTTTTTCATTCGTTGTGGGAGGTTTATGTCCTATTAGACGACACAATGAGAACATTTTCCCCTACTGACCCCCCTGGGCGGCTATTGTTGGAAAATGTCTATCTTACTTGTCGGATTCGCTTTCGTTTTGCCGGATTTTTTTCTCTTTTCATTAATGAATTTGAAATCCCATCAGTATTGTTTTGGATGACATGACCTGAAGAACAGCGGGGAAAATATCACGAACACAAAGTCTAAGAGATTGGGAAAAAAGCTACAGTATACCTATTTACCACACTCATGCATTTGAGCTCAATTGTCTCGGTTCCTACAAAAGATATCAAAAATCTGTAAACTGATAAAAAATTGTTCATAACATCCCCAATATTATATTAGTTGGCAGATTTCTGATTTTATTCATAGGAAAATAGATAATTGATCTCAAAGTGTATTAGAGCAGATACGGCACCTCAAAACAAAAAATTGAACAGAATTCTTGTATCTTACTATATCAAAATTCAATCTGAAAAATGGACGGCAACAACTCACCTTGTACATTGAATTACTTTTTCCTAAAATTTAGATAGTTCTGAAATTGTCAGGCAACACAATTTCCTGATTTTCCGAACCTACTGATTCCAAACTCCTACAGTACCAGATTTTATATCCTATACAAAATCCCAAAAAAGTAGCAATTCTTTGGGAAATTCCCTCTCAAAATTTCAACGAAAATCCTTTTTTCGAACTTTTTTGAAGATTGATGTACTGGATTTTTTTGAAGATTGATGTACTGGACCTACTTTGAGGTGAGTAGGGAGAACTTAAAGTAGTCCAGATCTATTTGATTAGATTTTTTGCATTTACCGTATAGATAAATGGAATGATAAGTTTTGAGAAAAAAGTTTAGAGTGGAATTTTTCGGCGTTGAGATAAAGTTGCACAGAGCCCGAAATAGATGGGCTTTCATTAAAACATTTGTGGTAATCATTCAATTTACTTTTCCAAGTTTGACTCGTTCACAATTTTTCCAGTCAACCAGCAAAAATAACAGCAAAAATAGGAACACAATGTGTCTGATGAAAACACCAAAAAAACTCGGAATTTTCTGATAGCTGCCAACTTCAAAATGAACATGCTCATTAATTGAAAAATGCCCGAAGAAACATCTTACACTACAAAAGAGACTTCCTAATCTGAATGGTTTTGCAAGAAGAAATCGCAACACAAAAGATCTAAACACACGAGCGCAGAATAAAAAATCTAATCTCAAGAAATCAATTGAAACCTGCAGACAGACAGTTCAAAATCCGCCAGACACACCAACCCCGTTTTCGTTTTCATCTCAAGCGATGCAATCTCATTGCCCTTTCTGGAGAGGATATCTTCTCTTTCAATGTCCTCTTAATCTCAATTTTCGAAAGTGCAACTAATCTCTCCGGATTTCTTTTCTCCTCATCCATCTACCTTTCTTCTTTTTCACACTTCATATGTACCTCCAACATTGCCGTGAAGCATAAAAATGTGTTTACACTTGAGAACCTATTTTAAGACTTTATTAAAAGTCTTAAACAAATAAAACATGTGTGATAAATCACTGATATGGAGATAAGCTATCAAAATGAAGCAAAATGAAAAATATTAGTTTTGAAAAGTTAGTAGGTGAATAAGACAATACGCGTTGTTCAACAGAATATGAAAAAAAAAAGGAAGCTCAACAAACACATTTTTCTATAACAAATAATTTATTGTCCAACCCAGACCTTGCATCTGTTGGCTGGCTCTGGATACATTGGAGTTCCACGTGCGCAACCAAAGTCTTTTCCGAATTCTGGAATGTCTTGCATGACTTGGTTCGTTCTGCATTTGGCTGGAGAGTGGGGGTTGGTGAGGAGCTGAAAAATTATGGTTAAATTAATACAAATGAAAAAGGAGCATACCTGATGAACCAGGTTGGCATCAGATTGTTTCATGCACCATGAATATCCGTAAGTGATCCAGAAGATTTGGTTTGGAGTGTAAGCCTCCAATCCTGGAAGTCTGTCCTCCTCGACTCCTCCTCTTGTTTCGGCAATATATTGTCGGTACGCTCTATAGGCGGCTTGTTGTCCTCCCAAGTCAGCAATATTTTCTCCTTGGGTAGTAGCTCCATTAGCACAGTGGACATTTCCAGTTTTCTCTGGGCAACATTGAGTGCTGAATTGGGTAACAACACATTGAGCCATATCAATGAATCCTGAAGATGAGTTAGTGTCCATCCATCCGCATTTGTTCCATGCACAATCAGTGAGCTCTCCATTAAAGCCGAATTGTACTCCTTCATCATCATATCCGTGAGTCAATTCGTGACCTCCGGTACCTCCTTGTCCGGCGAAGTTGTAGGCTTGTGGGTAGGCGAAATTGTAGTAAGGTGGGTTCCAGGCTGCATATGGGAAGGTGATCGAGTTACGCTCTGGTTGGTACCAAGCGTTGACCATTGCTGGGGATTGGAGGAAGTTAGTCCTAAAAATTGAGTTTGATTTTTTGCATACGTTAAAAAAAATACCTATCTGCTGGCTCTCCCAGAATTCTGAAGAACTCTCTGACTTCCATTCCTTTTTTCAAGACAGCAAAGATTCCGTAGATATCAGATTTGTCCTTGGTATAGATATCAATGATGGAAGCGTAATCTTGGTTGTATTGGTCGACAGCAGTGAAATCCTTGAAATCACCGAACATGGCAGTTGGCCATCCGAAGTTCTTGATAAGAGAGTCAGCTGAAAATTGGCTTTGTTTTTTCTAAAGTTTTCAATCAAAAGTTACATTTGTTGTGAGCGCGGTTTTTACTGAAGTCATCCATCCATTGGAGGGAATTGATCATGTTCTAAAGATTTTAGTTTCATAACGTCTTGGCTTTAATTTTCATGTACCTGGAAGTTGCTAATGATTAGACCAGTTTGGTTTGTGACGTCGCTTTGAACTTGGTACTTCTGATCCTTTGATTTCACATAAACGTATCCAGTTCCGTATGGCATGTAGGCAGTGAGAAGATCCAGGCATCCTTGAGAAGCTCCATCAAGGTCCATCTTTCTGTAGTCTCTCTTTCCGTGCCTATAGAACAATATCAATCAAATCAGCTAAATTATCACTTATTTTTCTTACTTTCCAATACCACGTCCGCTTCTAAGTGCGTAATGAATGTAATTGTTCTCAGAAGCAACTCTGGCAGTGTCTTGACTGATGAAATCAGACTCATCAGCCAAAAGTTGAGCAATCATGTAGTTGGCAACAACAGTTTGATTGGAAGTTTGACCAGCGAAGACACTGTTTAGCCAGGCAAAGTAAGATGGCTCGGTGACAACAATCTGGAGTTAATTTTCAGGTTTTTGATAATTGAGATAGATATCTGTTACGTTGTAGTTAGCTTGATCCTTGACGGTTGCGACTCCATCGAAAAGTTGTCCAAGGTACGAAGCCCAGTTGATAGAGCTGTATGCGGCTGTAGCACTAGCAATGTTGTAAGCATTGTATTGTTGTTGGTAGTTTCTAGAAAAAAGTTTGATGTATAAATTCAAGTTTAAAAATGTGTAGTGCACTTCGTTCTTGCATGTCCTTTGACAGATCTTTCACATTCTAGATAAGAAATGATAACGAAGTGCAACATTGATAGAAAGAAAGCTAGCAAAATCGAAACCAACCTCAACAAGTCATCAGGCCAGGAAGCCATTGCGATAAGAACTTCGAATGCAACAACTTCTTGAGCAGCATTGAGTAGAACATCAGCTCCAGGGGTCTTTTTGAGATTCTTGGCAAAGGCAGACAGGAGGCTGTTAACCTTAGTAACACGAGCGTTCACTTCGGCGATGTATTGTGGCTTAACGTAGAAGTCTCTGGCTAGAGAAAGTCCCGGCTGAAAAAAAACTCGAACAATTTTCCCATTTTTCTGTTTCAAACTCACTGGTCCGGTGTACAAAGCATTCTTGGTGTGATCCTTATAATCCGAAGAAGCAATGGTATATGTCAGGGTTCCAACAGCGTGCTTTTGCTCTATTTGGCCAGCTACCATCCAGTAATCAATCTTCGGGTTGAGCTTCTCTCCGAGAAATGGAACTCCTCCGAACCTAAAAAGTTATATTTTTGTTTTATCTTCTTTGGCATGACTATCTTACAAAGCGGTTATCTCATCATACACAACCTGAGACTTGTCTGGTGGGTTGAACAAATTCTTTCTGCACGTGTCAAATGCCTGTAATAAACTTTCACCACTTGATACACTGATAATGAAAAATTTTATGTTGCTACCTCTATTCAAATAAAGTAATCAAATAATCAAAAACGGTGATAAAATAGTTTGAAGTTTCTGATTTATGTGAATTGATGACAATGACAAAACTTTTAAATTTACAACGAAAAATTTCGGAATGAATTTCAGAAAAAATAATCACCTCAATTGAGTCATTATAATCATGACTTGGAGGTGATGAAATCGTAATATACTCACCGCTTTGGTAATCCGCTCGGTCTTGGAGGTTGTGGTGCTAGCGACGTCAATTTTATCAAGAGCAGCAGCGATTTCAGTGTACACGTCGATTTGAGCCTGGTCATAAGTTCCGAGACGAGATCGGCCAAGTTTTCCGAGATCGGTGTTTTGCAGGAACTGAAATTTTCTATGTTCGAAGTTCAATAGACAAACAGGACTAGCCTTGTTACACGTGAAAGCGTAAAAATCTTGACATGGATCGATAGTATCATCCAGACCATTCAACAAATAATTAGCTGCTTGTTGGTAAGCAGCACTGTTGCTTACTGTACCAGTGGAAGAGTTCTGTTGTGGAGCTGGAGAATAGTGCCATACTGGATTGTTGTTGACTGTTGTGGTGAGATCGTTAACATTTCCGAGAATGATGATGTTAAGGACTAATGAAGCAATTACAATTCCGATGCCTGCTACTATCCCAGCTGAAACATATATTCGAAACATTAAGAGTGTTATATTTTTAAATTAATATTTTGAAAAATTTGTGACTTACCGAGGAGGACGAAGGAAATTGCCTGCGACATGCTCGTAGCTGGTGTCCGAGGCAAAGTGCTGTTGAGTTTCCAATTTCAATTTCATTCGTTCTTATCAGCAATACCCGCATACCGTGATAATCTGTTCGGATTGTGTATGCTGTCTTACGCACACCTTCATTTCACAATTCATGCTTTTAAGCTTCGCACTTTACAAGAAGATTATGAACAAATTTTGTGAGAGTCTTTTTAAAGATGATATGATGAAAAAAGTGACAAAAAGGATGTTATTTCATGAAAAAACTAAACAAAAAACAAACATTATTTTGGTGGCATAACAATTGGAGTGGGGCGTTTCAACTGTGACAAAACTTTCGACCTTCCATTTTTCTGCTCCTGATCGTAAATTGCAACAGAACTTAATGATCGTTGTCTTGGAAAGTCCAAAGGTGTGATTGAAATTGATTCTGCTGTGGAGATTTGAGTGAATGCGTCGTCATCGGAGGTTTTTCGACGAATTACTGTAGCTCGCCGGATATTATCATCTGATGAGTCGTCAGAAGAATCGGATATTGAGCAAGAGCCATCAGGTGTGATGATTTTTGGTGTACCGTGTTCCTCCTCTGAACGCATCATGGGTGGTTCTGATTTGCAGTGATAGAGACGAGGAGGTGGTGGTAGAGGGCTAGTCGGGACAGGAGGGTCAGATGCAGATGGACTCTGAAAAATTTTGTTTCATTTCGAACTTCATAAAAAAACTCACACTTCTCTTTCTCCTTGTCTTTCTAGCCATTCGACCGAGTCTCGGTTCTCTTCTTGACTGTACTGGCGCCGCTTGTTCATTTCTACACTTGTAATTTACCGGCATAGATTCCGAAAACTTTGTAACCATATTCTTATCTTCATCTCCCATAATAGCAGGTGGCGATCCGAAAAGTGTCAGCTCCACATCATCATTATGTTTTACGGTAGACGCCATAAAAGAATTGTTAGTGGTGGATCCTTCTTCGGAATAGTTGGACTCCACTTCTTCAATATGTTGCTGGTGATCTCTCAGTCTTCCAAGTTTCCAACCATACGGATCCAGAGGAGCACCCATTGGGAACACTCTTGACCTTACTGTTGGTCCACGAGAATCAATGTACATATAAGTGTTTTCTCGGTGAGTGAATATTGTAGGTGTTCTCCGCCGATTTGGAGGACTTTCGTATTTACTATCCTGTTTCATGTAGGCATCTTTAGGCTCTAGAAGATCATCTGGATTTTCTCGCCACTCGGAAGTATCGAAGAGTGATTTCAGTAGTTTTCCTTCGTTTCGAATTTGTCGAACTTGTAAGAATGCAACCAGTGGGACTACTAAAAGAGGTCCAATCATCACTACCCATGCAACGATTTCATAGTCAATTGGAATTGGGCGGCCCGCAAATGAAATTCTTTGGTAGCCGAGCACAGATGCGACTAGTAAAACTGTCAAAATTACAGGGCAAATGAAACACAATGAAAACTTGATGTAGATTCCGCCAGGGCCCAGAATAGAAACTATTTTGTCCTTAAACTCCAAACTTTATAATTGAAGATTATTTAATATTTACCCTAAACCGTATTGCCTTCGATATCGGAATTCTGGGTACTCGAAGCATGCCAGAAATATCAGTGAGATAGTTGTCAATTCCATAAACATAACAAACAATGGCCACTGATAACAACGCCAATGAGAACGAGTTCCAGTTCGCGTTTAAGTTTTCAATAGCATGAAACACAAATATTCCGCCCTGAAATATCAAAATGAGTTGAGTTAATATACACTTTAGTACCTGTGCACATAATGGGAGTCCAAAGAAAAATCCAACCAGACACAAAAATGCTAGCAGACGGTTTTCCACAGCCTTGTTTTTGGTAGAAAAATGGTTCATGAATGCAGAAGCAATCATTTCCAACCTGTTCATTTTCTAAATTAAAGTTCCTTTTGAAATGCTCACCATGCAAATTCAGCGTCCAACGCTGCCATAACTAACATCCCAAAAAACATCGTCGCCCAGAGCCCACCCCAGTACATAAATGATGTCACACCTGGATATACAGTAAACGAGAGATAAAGAGGGTCATGTTCTGAAAGATTTCAAATTGTATATAGCATAATAAATGAAAATTGTATTACTCAAAACATCGTTGACGTTGCTGTTGGACTCGCTCGCGATGAAACCAACAAATGAAAATATGACCATCCCAGATAGAATCGAGGTTAGGGCGTCCCTTAAATCAATCGGAATGAACAAAACCTATTTTCAAAGGACACTTACATTATTACAAGAAGCACTGAATCTCTGTACACATTATTTCGGTACCTTGAAAATGCTGCCATTGAAATAAGAGGCCCCGCGTCAATTCCAAGTTCATAAAATACCTGCTCAGCAGCTGATTTCCAAATTTGCCACTTCCAAAGTTTAGTACTATCCACCGTGAAAAAGAAAGACAGTCCTTTGTTGGCACCAGGAAGACTGATTCCACGCAGTAACAAGATTGACAGCTGAAATTTGGATTTCACAAAACAATTTCTGACATTTCAAAAGCTTACCAGTAGATAAGGTACTGTAGCAGTGACATTCATCGTTTGAGCAATAGATCCGAGCCCTTTGAACACACCAAAAAACACTAAAAGCCAGGCGGCCGCTAGTGAGAGCACTAAATGAGATTGTAAGGGGCCAAGAGCAAAATCTCCAAATGTCGATAGAGACAGCACTTCAGAACTGTATATACAAATTAAAATCGCAAAGATAACAAGCAAGCATACTGAAAAAATGCTTCTGGAGCTGTGATAGAATTTGAAGAGTTGAAACAACTGTGCAAGTTGTGCAGGTTGCAACATCGGTTATCCAATTGCCATTCTAAAATTGAAGAAAAATATTCTTAGTTAAAAAAATGGACTCACCGTCTCTACAAGTCTCCCAAGGCAACTCATCGCCCAACAAAAGTCCTTTAGCTGATTGGAAAAAGTAATGAATCGCCCAAGCAACAATGATATTGTAATAAACCGCGACGGGTATTGCAATGACAACAAGAGCCCACCCAACACCTTAAAATTAAAATTAATACATTTGATAAAAACGCAAAAAACCAACCAGATCCAATTGGCATCAACTTCGAAAACGCTGTATTTGCAGCTTGTCCTGTGTACTGTCCTAATGATAAATGCAAAAATACTAAAGGAAGACCAAAAAATACGAGAGAGAAAAAGATGGGATAAAGAATACACCTCCTCCATGTTGGTATACTTTTGCTGGAAACCTCATTGTATGTCCAACGCCAACCATGAATCCAAGACATGTCAAGAAGAAATCCTTTTGCGTTCTCCATAGTTCTCTTCTGTCGTTTTGTTTGGAGAATCTTAGGAGATCTGTTCTTCTGTAGATTTGAAATTGATCCCACCAGTGAGGCCTTTGTGGCATTTGATCTTGAGCTTCTAGTGTGGATACATTGATAGTTTGGATGACATCAGGAGGGGACTAAATTTACACTTAAAATACCGTAAACCTGTATGAGAAAAAAACGGTGTTTTTCTACAAACTTCAGTGAAATTATTTATTTTCGGGAATTTTTTTCACTGAAAATGTACGGAAACTTTTGATATCAAACAATAATATTGCTGGGGAGCCTTTATATTACAGCGTCCTTGAAAGGAGGTCAGATATTAAAAGAAAGCTTTCTAGATGTTTTGTCTTAAAAACCCTTGTGAGGTTTCTCTTTTATCAAAGGAGCTCTTATATTAAAGGGACTCTTCTGACAGGTTTTACCATGGTTTTTTGTTTAAAATACTCACCACACTTGGAAGAGAAGAAACTGTGCGGGATTCTGTTGGGCCAATTTGCGAACTGGGTTTTCGTTTCATTTTCCTCCATTTCTTCTCTTTCTCCACTGAACTTTCTCGATTCAGAAGACGTTCTGTTTCGTCTGCATGGCAGACACATTCCAAGTAAAATATTGCAGCATCGTTAGCACTTGTGGATACCAATTCTCTTAGTTTCACGATTCTCCTGTCCATATCAACAATTCGTTTCTTGATTTCTTCTTCTGATGATTTTCTGTGCAGATCATTTCGCTTCGCAAGGGCTTCGATTTGAAGACGGAGAGCTGATTTCCACTCTACACTCATTCCTAGAATATATGATTTACTATAAAATGTAGTAGAAAAAACAGTGAATTGACAAAAAAATACGAGGTTGAAGGTAGAAATCTAAGGTGAAAAAAAGTTAGACATGGATGATTGCATGAAACGCAGATGAGAAAGAGAGAAACCTGTTACCCGACTTCTTGTTCGACAAATTCCCGCCTTCTTCTTCTTCATCTCAAGATGAGAGATGGTGTAGAAGGCAATAGTACAGTTATTGTAGCGATGAGGTAGTTTGTTTTGGTGGCCGTCTATTTTGTTACCTCCGCATTTTTTTGTCTTGTCAAGATCCTCGTTATGAGAAAACCCAGAAACGGCACCAGATAAATTGTCAAATAAATTGACATAGAAATGTTTCTCTGGAGTATCCATAAGTCGCATGTTTTAATTATTTGAGCGGATTCGAACTTTCATGATTTTTGAAAATCACGCATTCTCTGGGATTCCTAACAACATGATGAAATGCAATTAAATTTATTCAGATAATTTAAACCAAACATTTAGTTTTCATCGCTTGCTAGAGAATTTTCTCTTCTTGACGGCAGGCGCGTTGTTTCCATACAGTTCACAATGTCTCGCCTTGTTTTCTATCATTTTATCCGTTGGCTTGCATTGAAAAGCGTCTCCGAACGCCGGCATTTGAGACATCAAAGTGTTCACTCTTTGATAATTGTTCGTGTGTGGATCAATCTCGTTGGTTTTCATTGCCGTCATTGCTCTCTGAAAAATTTGTATGGAAGAAATATAAAAGAGAATAAAAAAAACACCGAGTCACGTAGCAACACACTTGCTCCATAGAAGAATAGTTGGTCTTTTGTCAATGATTCGTAGTTTTTGACAACTGTCTTCCGTCTATATGACTTCCGGTAAAAATCCCAAGCAATGCGGTAGGCGGCCATATCTGATGCGTCCTCCTCAAATGTTGCATTAGGACTGCATCCCTGCAAAATTTTCGGTTACATACTGTATCATTTTTGAACTATACGGTTTCAATCTGAATCCATAAAAACGTTTCTCGGAAAACCATTTTTATTCCAAAAAATCAACTTAATGTTTTTCCACAAGGAGAACGAGAGAAAGAAAGTGTACTGAACATTAATTATATGACTTTCTGACTCAAAGGATTAGAAAAAAACTATTGAAATAGATTCTCCTTTTTAGATACAGTACTTAAAATCTCTAGATCCATCTATTCAGGCCATTTCTAATAAAAAACATAGTTTTTGAGTAGAAAAACATCAATTTTCCGACCTAAAAGTAGATAGTAATGGATTTATTATACGTTTTTATCCACAAACTTCATTTTCAGATAAAGATTGTTCATGAAGCATCCCTATCCTGTGAAAATAGAAGGGGTTCTGAGCGGAAAACAGTTTTCTTTTTCAATTTTCACGCTTTTTCAGTTGATTTTTGGAAAGAAATTGGTTTTCCGATGAGTGCTCAAGAATATGGCCTCTGAACTTACCATGATAGGAAAAGTGGTACAAGTTTTCATCGCTTGCTCAGCGACGCCGTCACTTTTTGTTGTCCAGAAAGGAATCAAAGGATTGAAGAAATCTGTCGGTCCCATAACCAATGTGTGCATTATTTCATGCAGGAAAACAAACCCAGCAGCACCAAACTGAAATTTCTGTGCTTTTTGAAATAGTAAATGTGTTTATTTACTTTATCCGATAGATGAGTTGTGCTCAATAGTAGGAGAAAGTCATTGGAGAAGAAAACTGCTGTCTGAAAATTAGTTTATGAAATGACGAATTTTTCGTATCACCCACATCATTGTGATTTAACATTGAACCTTTATCTCCCAAGACTGTGTACCTCCCAAAATCGAAAACTTTCTCGCTTCGAGTATCGAGAAACATTTTTGCGTGGCGGCATGCGACAATCTCGCAAAAAGTTTCAGCATGCTCTGATGAGTAGGACCCATGGACACTGAAACTTTCAAATATTTGATTTTCAAGCTCAACATTGGCTTACGTAGATTGGCAGGAATCAAAAATTTTGTTATATTTGTCCATTGCTAGTTCTACAGCAAGCCGAGCATCACGGAAAGTGAAAAGCTCGATTTTGTCTAGAGCTTCTTGAAATATCTCGATAGATTGATACGTCTTCGCCCACGGTGTAGCTTCGATAACTTTCATAGCATAATTTTTGAGTTTATCGAAAAAACTCCGAGCGTTTTTGTCAAGTCTGTCAAAAATGATTGACACAGCCAGTGCATTAGCAGCCTGATTCAATTCAGTTTTCAATTGGGCCTGCAAGGATATATCATATTTAAGTTCAATTGTTTCATAAATACATATTGATTGTTTCCAACGATAATTTGTCGGAATAATTTCTGTTTCTGGTCATCGGACATCTTTTGAAAATCAGTCAGATGAATTTCCACTAGATCCATCCTACTGCAAACATGATTTTTGTATTAATGCTGGTTTGAAAAAAAACCTACTACCCATCTAGACGAAGATTTCGTTCTCGCATGATGATACTATCTATCGTGACCAGTGTCTCGACATTCAGAAAATATTTAATTTGTGTATTTAATCAGCGTTTCTGATAAATAACGAATCTTTTGAATTTTTCATTGTTCTTCTTGTACTTGTCCACCATTACATCCCTTTTGGAGCCCAACATTTGGAAAAAGCTTCCTTCAAACGATGTGGGACAAGCATGTGCGTAGAAATCGGTGCAAGGATCAATGGAGTAGTTGACATGACTGTAATGACATTTTTGAAAAGCTTTGCCATCCATAACACAAACTTCTTGATATGACTTTGAATCAGATAAACCGGCAAGACAATTTCAGGTCTCGACAGGCAACACGCGGAATATATCTAATTGAGAAAGATGAGGAGAATGAAGTTCCAGGAACAAGAAACCATTCTCAAATGCAGACAAGTTCGAGAAAGTCGCCTTTTCTTTTATATTGTCAAGTTTTTCTGCATTCGGCCCACATTCATGTGATTATGCATATTTTTTTTGATTTATTCCTTTCCAAGTTGCCCCACATGTGAGAAAACTTCTGCTAAGCAGGTGTGAAACTGTAAAGTATACATCTTTCAGTTTGACTCATGTAACTTTCGTATTCCTGATTTTATACTCCTTTGACAAGATTAAGTTTTCTACGTTTTTCACACTTTTCACATTTCGATTTTTTTATTTTTTGCACATTCCCCCGAAAGAATAATTCTATTTTTTTGTTTTAAAACCTTCCTTCTTTACAAATTTTTAGCGCATCAGGAAAAAAAATGTTTTATAAAAACTGGGGATATTGCACTTCGGAGCCCAGATGTTTTTCCAACATTTCGGGGATCTCAAAGAAAACAGGAAATTGATGTTTGATGGGCTCATGGAGGCTGTGAAAGGAATAAAACGTTTGGCGTTCTGAAAAAAGTTTATATTGTTGGAGGGAATGATTATTTATTGGTTTAGGGTAATTTGAAAAAACAATGTTCGGAAAATCTTTTGAAATCTTGAAATTTCATCCGCATTCAAGGAATCCCGAGTTTCAGGAAACGCTTTTCGTTGTTAAGAACAACAGACAGAGAAAAATGAGGATAATTGGATATCTTGTACCATATTTCTTAGACAAAATTTTGACTTTTTTGTATGGAAAATGCACCAAAATAAAAAAAATCTTTTATTATAACCGCTGTAAGCAGACTAAATTAAACAGGAAAAAGTTTCTGAGGTGCGATGCAAAACTGTACAAGTGTGCAACGCTCTGACATCTATTTCCTAAAAAGAGAAAGTATTCAAGCTTGAGTTCATAATCGGAAAAACAAAATCCGGGCCGAGACGGGAAGGGCGCGGGCCCCGAAAATTCTGAAAAAAGTCCGGCCCGGCCCGTTGCAAGTATGAGTTTTAGTTTACAAGTTAGAAGAAGTTTGAAAAAATTATGCTCACGAACCGTCGCCGTTGGTTCTGAAATTCAGGCAGAGATGATGTAATCGAGTTGCTGATTGACAGTTAGATTAGTGAGTTTTAATTTAGTGAGTTTTATTCTTATGGAAACAAGGTTGATTTACAATCAAGAATTAATAATGAATCTTGAAGGTTCTGGAGTTTTTTTTTTGAATAGTTCCTATGTTTCCGTAACGACTTTCAGATATTAACGTTCTCCATTATCATTAGCACAGAAATGGCAAACTTTTATCTTGCGGTAAACCCAATGAATTATATAAAGTTTTTAATTCGTTATACGAATTCATCCAGTAAATCTTTAATATTTTGGGATTTCAGTAACTTTAATGAGCTGGAAGTTTGAAACTTTGTATTCTTTTCACTTTTCCGACCAAAATCGCTATTTTCAAACATATTTTTAATGAAAGATAACAACTCCAAGACTCTCCGAGAGCCATTAAGCATTATTACCCATTGCTCGAAAGATTATAAATTTTCTTGATTTATTCCTTTCCAAGTTGCCCCCTGTGAGAAAGTTTCAGTTTATCAGGGGTGAATTATACATCTATCAGACTCATTCAATTTTTGTACTGCTGATTTCAGATTCCCCGACGAACCTTCACGTTTGACTTATACGCCAACCATTTCATCATAGCACAAATAATTTGTCAATTTCCTCTTGAAGACTCACAAACAGTTTCAAGTTTAACTATTTTTGGTATTCAGCTGAAGTTCTTTTTTTTTGTCCTACAATTTTCCTCCTATACAAATTTTTAGCTTGTTATAATTTTGAGATTCTCTTGGAAACTGATTTCACATTCGAAATCATCGTCCCCTTGGTATTTTTCAGTGAAAAATCCGGCTCAATTGAGATGAAGCAGCATACTGTAGCAACCTTGGTGTGTCTCTGAACTCAATTATTTTTTCCTCTGTTCGATCTGAAAATTCTTCTAAAAAATGTCGTCAAATCCATCAACATCGACATTAAGAACCTCTGTGGACCGTTTCAACCTTCAAACACAGAAGATTTCGACATCGAGAAACATAAAGCTAAGATTTTCTTTTCTCAGAATCATTAAAAAGTTCTAAAAAATGCAAATTCGCTCTCTCGCCAACCGCGTTGCGTGTCTTCTGTTGCCGCATAACGCGAGTGAATGCGCAACGGTTGTTGACACGGATAGTGAAACAAAGACGCAAATCGTGAAACTTGACTCTTTTCTGGATGGAAAAAGTTTCCAGCTAACTTTTCATTAACTTTAATCGTTTTGTGAATAATTTTTTATCACAATCGCAATCGTCTATTTTTTTCACTGTGAAAACCTAGTATAGAATGTCTCCCAAACTGTCAATTTTTAGCTCAACTGGTCAACTGACAAACTTTGTCTCACAATATAAGAATTTTGTGATATCTTTCACAGGAAATGTGATATATGGGTTTGTAGTGAACGGCTTGAAGGACATTATATCCGCGTGTTTCTAGTATGCATATCTTGAAATGAAAATTAGTTTTTTTTCAGATCCTGTGTACGACGAGAACGCTTTGTTCGATATAGAGGAATTCGTCAATATCGCCTGACTAAAAAAAAGTTGAGGAGATGGTTATTCACAAACAAAGAGATGAAAGGAGCTCACGGATCAACGGACAAAGTTATGTTGATCCAGTGAAACTTCGAACGTCCCGTGAAGCTGACGATTTTTCGACATCTGCCGGAATAGTTGTCAATGATATCGGCATGAACATCAAGTGGATCTCTAAAGATATTGCGGTGTAGAAGAAAAACTTCGACATTTTCAAAGCCTTTGGAGCAGTTTTGGAGGCAGCAGTTTTGGAAGTCGGACGGAAGTCGGGGATTTTCGATTAGAAGGTGAGCTTGTTTTAAAACAAAAAATTATGTAGTCTTGGACTTTCAGATCCCACATTCAAGGAACTTTGAAAAGACCCATTTACAAATGTTGCGATTTGGATATAGAAAAATCGTCCGATGCCTGAACTTGCGAAATGGACGTGAAGAACAATGGAATGGGTGAAATCCGGGGAGGAATTGATGGAAGTCGGAGGGAAATCGTGAGACAAAGATCAAGAAAAAGCATACAATGCCCTGAAAAACAAAGAGGTAAGGCAGTTGTTCTCAATGAGAGAGCTTACCCATTTCATAAAAACATGTACCCA